TGAAGTTTCTTAATCTGAAGCACCCAAAAGACCCTAATGAGTACTCATTCCCAAAGAGTGACAGTATCTTCTTAGGAGACCCTGTCAGGAAAACATGGCTAAATGTGTATTATTATAGATATCCACATAGGTAGTAAACTTTATAAAGTATACAGTGATAAACAATATTTGAGGATAGTAGTTATCTCAGGGTAAGAAAAGAATGAAATCAGGGATTTTACACATAAAACTTTATTGTATCTATAGAGCATTTTTTGGAAAAAAAATTAGAAAAATATGTGAAGTGAATATTGCAAATATTAATATTTGGCAAATTTGGGGGGATTTGTGCATAGGCTTTGCAATTATTCTCTCATTATAAATATGCTTGAAGTTTTTCATTATTTATTAATATATTTAAGATAAAGAGCAAGAGCAAATTTTATGACTTCCCTATTCCTAGTCTGAGTGCTTGGGTGATGGTGCTATCATTCAATGTGACAGAAGGAAAGAACATCTGATTCCTAAGCAAAGATAAGGTATTAAGCTGTGGATATATTAATGGAGAAAAGCCTCAAGTGTATTTCCTATACAGAGAGAACTGTCCTCATGTATTTCTTCTCCTTTCTCTATTTTTTGAGTTTTCTAGACTAGTTAGGCTCATCGTGAAAATGAATGACAGAGTATGTCTAGACTTCGATAAAGAATGGAATGAAGCTTCCGGTGTACCTTAAAGACCCAGTGGAGAAAGGTGGACTAAATGGAAGTCCAGTTACCATTACTCAAGATGTCCCATAGAATTAGTTCTAGTTTGGCCCTAGATAGATTAGTATCAAACAGAACTGGTGTCTCTAATAATTAAATTGTATTTGTTAGAGTTACTATATTGCAAGTGATGAGAATGGGTTAAGGAGTTAATCTTCACAGCAAAAACAGTAGTACCTAACGTTTAATGCATTCTGAGTACTAGCTAGGCTATTTCATAAACACTTTATTTATGACATAGTATTTTAGTCATCACAACAGCTCTTTGAAGTAAGTATTGTGACTATGTCAGTTACACAACTAAGGGAACTTGGACTCAGAGAGGTTAAGTAACTTTCCAAGGTCATTCGGTAGCTCACACACTTACTTTTACTGCCTTACTTGAAATTTCCTAGGGTCCATGGGAAAAAGTAGTAAAACAAGATGGTTACGGGTGTGGGTGGTAGGAGTCAGGCCAGATCTTAGTGTGAGTTTCAGTTTTCCATTCACTAACTCTATAGCTTTGGGAATTACTTAATCTTTCTCACTCTTCATTTCCTCATTAAAAATGGCAATAATAAATGTCTGATTTCACAGGGTTTTGTGGAGAAAAATAACATGATGTATGTAAATAAATTCCTTCTTATATGTGCAAATATGGTGGAAGGTTAGTTAGGAGCCACTTGAGGATAATAGGAATAACTAATATGAATGATAACCTCTTGGAAAGAGACCTTTTGGCCTGATATCCTTGAGGTTACATCATCCCGTTGGCTCCTATATATAGACTAGATCCAGGGTAACCCACATTGTGGATTATATGCATGCGGATCATTTTGGAATGAGTTATTTTCTACAATAATGACCAAGCAGAGACTGAGTTCTTGGACTTCTTTCTCTTGTTCAGAATCCAGCAAGCTGGAGTCCAAGTTCTTTTCTTCTAGAGATCCGGAAGAGTAGCCCTGCTGATGGGTGAGGTTATCACATATTTTAAAGTTTTGGACAAGCAATTAACTCACAGTGGATGTCCTGTCAGTGCTGAGCAAGACATGGTGGAGGAGCTTCAAATGATAACTTGATGATAAATGTTTCTTTCAGTCAAGCTTGCCAAGCTCATTCTGACCCAATAGGATCTATTAGCACAGAGTCATGAGGAAGAGCTCAAAGCTTTAAAAGGCTTTTTAATACAACTTTGCTTATGGTTAATGTTAAATAGTATAGAAAATTGGGAAACAGAGATTTTTATATGTATATTATAAAAGTAAGGATATTTTTCACCAATAGATAGTTAAAATCACGTCCTCATCTAGATTTTCTTTGAAATGTGAAACTTCATGGAAAAATACGGATTATTTTGAGAGACAATTTTACAGATACTTTTCACTTGTGCTATATATTTCAGACTTCAGTTGAAAAGACTTCTTTCTGTGTCATGCTATGAAATTTAAGTCAACATGACTTTTTTTTTTTTTTTTGGTCTTAAAAAAGCAGGCTTAAGTCCTCAGATTCGGTAATTGGATAATTTAAACCTCAAAGACAGGGCTTATGGTGATTATCTTTCATCTGAGGTTTTATCCCATGAGGAGGAGGGACAGTATTTGACACACTAGCATAAAATGTGAGTTGAATAGGACCCCGTCCCCAACCCCCCAAGCAGCACATTTCTTTGGATAAATAATTGCTTTGCTTTGCCTTGCCGTGTTCTTGGCTTCTGCATTAAGACAGGAAATCTCCAGGTACAGAGTTCAGGATAGTATAAATATGTATCTTTGATAAGGTTTCAAAAGACTTTCTCCAAGTATGTTTTTAAAAAACATATTTTCCAATAATTTTTATTTTGTGATCACTCAGAAAAATTCTGGGAAGCTAGAAATTGCCATCTATATCTTTCAGATGAAAAGTTTATTTTCCTATTCAGTAAGTAGCTATTTGGGCTCTTTCTGAGGCCATGACCTTCCTTTTTAAAGGCATCAGAATAACTGATAGATGTATTCCAGTCACCTGTCAGGTATCACAGGAGAACAGGGTGTCTTCAGACTTTGTGATACTGGAGGCATGTGTTTATGAAAATCCAAGGCAGGTTTCTCCCTCTAGCAAAAATACTCCAAGGTAAATGATTTAATGTATAAACTATGCAGGGTAATGTGAAACTTCTCTTGGATATTTTTGGGAAAATTCAATAAAAAGTAAGTTATTTAACAACAACAACAAAAATATCCTGCATTTTAAAGGCTCTTTTAAAGCCTGGCTTTACCTGAAAGAAATTCTTCTCAGGTAGCAAGTGTGATCCACCGGTTTGGGGGGGTCTAAAGAGAAGGTGACAGTGTTAGGGAAATGTTAGCTGCTGTGAAGCTTGTTTGTTCAGCCTCTGCCAAAGTCTGAGCCTCAGTCTATTTCTTGAAAAGCGTCTCTGTACCCAGGACCATTAGTGGAGGAGGATGAAGCTGGGGAGCGGTGCTGTTCAGAACTTCCCATGGGTTGTTAAAAAAAATCACATGTGATCTCAGATCAGAATCTTTGCATATGTGTATGAGGAGATAATTATATGTAATATTGTGGGTATGCAGCCATTAAATTAACAGACGCTTACTCTTTGGAAGAAAAGTTATGACCAACCTAGACAGCATATTAAAAAGCAGACATTACTTTGCCAACAAAGGCCCATTTAGTTAAGGCTGTGGTTTTTCCAGTAGTCATGTATGGATTTGAGAGCTGGACTATAAAGAAAGCTGAGCGCCAAAGAATTGATGCTTTTGAACTGTGGTGTTGGAGAAGACTCTTGAGAGTCCCTTGGACTGCAAGGAGATCCAACCAGTTCATCCCAAAGGAGATCAGTCCTGAATATTCACTGGAAGGACTGATGCTGAAACTCCAATACTTTGGCCACCTAATGCGAAGAGTTGACTCATTTGAAAGACCCTGATGGTGGGAAAGACTGAAGGCAGGAGGAGAAGGGGATGACAGAGGATGAGATGGTTGGATGGCATCACTGAATCAATGGATAAGTTTGAGTAAACTCTGGGAGTTGGTGATGGACAGGGAGGCCTGGCATGCTGCAATCCATGGGGTCACAAAGAGTCGGACATGACTGAGCAACTGAACTGAAGTGAATATTGTGGGGAAATAAAAGAAAACCAGACTGTTACAAACTAATTGACTAGCTGTATCAGATCAAACATTTCTCTGAGAATAGCCAAATAAAGGAAAAAAAAAATTGCTTGAAGATATCTGAAAGCTTCCGAGAGGGCTGAGATTTGTGAGTCCAATATTCAAGACAGGAAAGAAGGGCAGAAAGCACCATATCAGGCACCCCTTTTCTCTCAAGGTGTTTGTAAGTTTGAAAGCAGCAGAGGGGAGCTGAGCAGAGAGGTCGGCTGAACATAGGTCTGGCCAGATGATAATTGGAATTTGGAGCTTTCCAAGGCCACACCCTAGATGTGAGGATCAGCTAGAAACAAACCAGTCCTCCAAAGACAGAAATCCAGCCTCACATGTATTCAGTCTCAAAACAGAAACCAACAAGAACAAGAGAAAAGACAGAGCTAGCCCATCTCTCTACCAGTCACTGGAGGGAAGTGACCTCTCTCTTACCCAAGGCCAGACCCTCCTCCATGGCCCTCTATTAGTCATCCTCCCTCCATCAATCTCTTTCCTGCACTTAGAGCCACACCACGTTGCCTTTCTGTGCTCCAACATTCTTGATTCCTTCGGCATACGCTGTGCCATGAAGGACTTTTTTCTTGTCATTAGATGTTATAAAAGTGCTTCTCTGAGTATAATCGATTGAATAACACTACGGCTTGATGCAACAGCTTTCTCTGGGCTTTTTTCTTCCCCAGATGCTCCTCTTAGACATATTTCAGAAACCATAGAGTGATTATTATGCTAATTAAACACACGCATTTTCTTGTTAAGAATCTTGCTCTTTCCTGATTATTCACTACAGTGCAAACCATGTTACATGGCAGACCCTCCTGGATAAGCCCATGAAACATGAGATAAGATCCCCAAATACACATTTTGGCTGAATGCTAAGTGACCAAGGGTTAAAATCAATATTTGGCCAAAACTAAAGCTTAATACCAATATTTACCTCATGGAATGAATTTCCAGGACACAAGAAAAACATTAAAGTCTCCAAGTTTTAATTTCATCATTAAAATTGCCAGTAGTCAATTTTTTTAAGTTTAACTTTATCGTACATGACGGCAGTTTCTTAGATTTCTCAGCTGAGGTCAATACATTCAGCCTTCACAATACTAAATAAATTCTCACTTTCAATTCAGGTCAAGGAAGGAGGAAGCCATTCTCTTTTGAGCTTTGCCATTGTTAAGTGTTTCAGATGGTGAAATATTCCTCAAGTCATTGAGCTTTCCTTCTGGACAGAACTGCAACATATAAAGCACATAAGGAGACCATTTTATACTCTAAGTTACATTTTTTGGTTTATTTTATTTTTTTGTAATTTAATTCTTATTTTATATTGGAGTATAGTTGATTTACAATGTTGTGTCAGTTTCAGATGTGCGGCAAAGTGACTCAGTTATTCATAGACATATATTCTTTATTTTTCAGATTCTCCCATATAGATTATTATAGGATAATGAGTAGAGTTCCCTGTGCTATACAGTAAGTCCTTGTTGACTGTTTTGTATATAGTAGTGTGTATATGTTAATCCTCAACTCCTGATTTATACCTCCCACTCCTGCGGTAACCATAAGTTTGTTTTGAAAGCCTATGAGTCTGTTACTGTTTTGTAAATAAGTTCATTTACATCATTTTTTTAGATTCCATGTATAAGTTATATCATATGATATCTGTCTTCTTCTGTCTGACTTACTTCACTTAGTATGATAATCTCTAGGTCAATCCAATTTGCTGCAAATTGCATTATCTCATTCTGTTTATGGCTGAGTAATATGCCATTGTATACATGTACCACAATTTATCCATTCCTCTGTCAAAGGACATTTAGGTTGCTTCTGTGTCTTGACTATTAAATACAGTGTTGCAGCGATCATTGGGGTGCATGTATCTTTTTGAATTATGATTTTCTATGGATATATGCCCAGCAGTGGGGTTGCTGGATCACATGGTAATTCTATTAGTAGTTTTTTAAGGAAATTCCATACTGTTCTCCATGATATTTACATTCCCACCAGCGGTGTAGGAGGGTTACCTTAGGAATCAAGAAAAAAATGCTAATTTGAGAAAGAACAAAAAGTTTTCATGCAGAAATCAGCTTATAATACAAGCTTACAAGGCAAATATAATCTTTCACCCCAAGCTAGTCTATGTAGGAGAACCTAAATAGTGAATTGCACCCCATAACAAAGTTAGACAGAATTGAGTGTTCCTAAATGGCAGCCCTAAACACCCTAGGTTAGAAAAAAGAGAAAGAGAGAGGAAAATGAGTCTAATAGAAACAGTGGGAAAGACAGTGGTAGACCAGAGACCGAGGAGAAGAATGACTAGTGAGAGATTAAATTCCTGTGTTCAAGATGACCAAGTATTTTCATAATTATGACATCTAACAATTACTCTCCTTCTATGACTCCACCAATTTGCAATAAAAGTTTCATAAATAGCCTTCAGTAGCTGGTTCCTTGGGGGAATGAAATATAGGCAAGACCACCAGAACCTGAGGCACAATCATAGCTGACAAGGGGACAACTGCCTCTGAGAATAAGATAAAAGAACCTGGATGGTCCATTCTCTGTGATGGGGAATCCAGAATGAGAGGGGTCTAAGAGACTACTGCGTCCACAAAGCATCCCCTGGAACATTGGAGGAAAACTAAACTTTGCAAGTGTACTAGATGGAGGCTTGAGACATTTTGCTTTGCATTACTGATGACTGATGTCCAGAAAGTTTTATATTAGAGACTTAGAGACACTTGAATTTCATAAGCAAAAACTTTTTAACAGCCTAAAGTGTCTTTAGGTAAAAAAAAAAAACCCAGTGTTTTGGCACTACAGGTATATAACATGATTTAGAAGGCAGCATCGGCAGGGATGTTAGGTAGGGAATTCATGGTCTTGATTTTGGGATACCTACCATCCACGATGCCCTCTGGTGTAATGATTCTAAGACTCTAAGGTTCAGTGTGAGGTTTTGGTCTTTCGGGGTAGAATTTTTTATATCATCAACTCTGCAAACAGAGAATAGCTTAAAAAATTAGAAATTTCTGTCCTTCCATCTATTTATAAAAGATGTGACTATTTCATATGTGATCCCAGGTTGTGTTCTGTTCATGGTGTGTCCATTGTACTGAATATCTCATGTACTCTCTGGAGCCTTTGGTGGGTTTAGGTTCAACATGTATGGAAGCTCAGATAGCCATTCCTCCCCATCTCAGTGACCATTCTATGTGAGCCTGTTATAAAAGAGATTCACGGTATTCTACAAATTCTGGCTGCTATTCAAAGTAGATTTGAATGAAAGTTTCAGGTGGAGGCACCTATATGAATCCATAGGAAGAATGACTAAATAAAACAGGTAAATGACACTGGCACCTTATACAGTAAAAGCAGAATAGTCAATGACAGTTCAGTCTCTTCACATGGACAATTCCCTCCCTAACAGAGCCCCTTCAATTATTGCTCAAGGTTTACATCTTAGAAACTTATCAAAGAGTCTCAGCAATATAAGCAAGATGGAAACTTCCCCTCCAGATTTAGACCCATCTATTTGTTTTTGCAGTTTAAAAAATTGATGTATGGCAGAAAACAACACAGCATTGTACAGCAGTTATCCTCCAAGTAAGAATAAATAAGTTTAAAAAATATAATAGAACAATAACACCAAAAAAAAAAAAAGGATTTTCCTTATTACACTCTGATATTGGTTGACTGACTACCTACATCAAATGCAGTCTCCAAGAGAACAGGGCACTGGGCACTGTATTCTGGTGCCCAGATAAGAACTTAGAAAATATTTGTGGAATTGATAAATGTGCTTGCATGAGTGCTCAGCCACTCAGCCGTGTGTGACTCTTTGCCACCCCATGGACTACAGCCTGCCAAGCTCTGCTGTCCATGTATTTTCCAGGCAAAAATACTCTAGTGGGTTGCCTTTTCCTTCTCCAGGTCATTTTCCTGACCCAGGGATCAAACCCACATCTCCTTCATTGACAGGCAGACTCTGTACCACTGTGCCATAAATGAGGAAGTAGATTCTCAAAAATGAATTGTGTTACAGAGTATGTTCTCATTAGTCATCTATTTTATACATAGTATCAATAGCACAGAGGTATCAATCTCAATCTCCCAATTCCTCCCACCCCCCACCTTTTGTGTTTGGTATCTATACATTTGTTCTCTACATTTGTGTCCCTACTTCTGCTTTGAAAATAAGAACATACTGTATAGTACAGGGAACTCTACCCAATGCACTGTGGTGACCTAAACGGGAAGGAAATCTAAACCAGCAGGGATATATGTATACATATAGCTGATTAATTTTGCTGCACAGTAGAAAGTTTGTGCAGTTTCTATAAAGTTACAGTCACATTACATTGTAAAGCTAACACAACACTGTATACTCCAATCAGAACTAATTTAAATATGAATTCGTTGAGGAGGGAGGTGGTAGTGGGGTTCAGGATGGGGAACACATGTACACCTGTGGTAGATTCATGTCAATGTATGGCAAAACCAATACAATATTGTAAAGTAATTAGCCTCCAAAAATAAATAAATAAATAAATACCAATAAAATAAAAAATGAATTAGTTGAAAACTGTGATTAATTTTGCTAAGGAAGATAACACGGAGTAAAGTGAAAGTGTATTTTAGGAGACTGGGGGGAGCAGCACCTGAAGGAGACCTGGACCATGTGCAATGGAAGAGAAAGAGCATCACAGGCAGGGAGTAAACCCTGGAAATCCAGAGGAAAGAAAGAACTTTAGATGTCCTAAGAATTTAAAAGAGGGGTGGTGTGCTTGGAGCTGTATGAGTGAGAAGCATTTCTGTGCATGCATACTAAGTCCCTTCAGTTGTGTTCAACCCTTGAGACCCCATTGGCTGCAACCCGCCAGGCGCCTCTGTCCACGGGATTCTCCAGGAAAGAATACTGGAGTGGGCTGCCATGACCTCCTCCAGGGAGTCTTCCTGATCCAGGAATCGAACCCTCATCTCCTGCAGCTCCTGCATTGCAGGCTGATTCTTTATCGCTGAGCCACCGAGGAAGCCACAAAGAAACATCATTTAGGTTTAAAAGAATAGCTGGAAGATGGCTTGGGTTCTTGAAGCCTGGGTTAAGGAATTCTGAATCATTCTAATTACAATAGAAAATCCCTGAGGGGTTTTAGTCAGGGTGTGCTATAATCTGATTTAGGTTTTATAATGCAAATGTATTTTGAAGGAAAAATGGAACCAACCAGTTTATGAGTTGAAATTAGTGGACAGAGAGATGAAGGGGAAAAAACAATGAGGAATGACCTCTTCTTTTAGCTTCAACAACTAATGGTGCATTCTTTAAATAATTTGTCTATTTTGGAATGTGGAAAATTAAGAGCTTTGAAAAATCTGTTAGATGGATGTGATACGTGCATATCTGGATGTATGAATTGAAGCTCAGTAGGGCATGAATTGGGGATGCAGTTTGGGAACCATAAGCATATGAATAGCATTTCCTTTTTTTTTGGCTGCACCTTGTGGCTTGTGGGATCTTAGTTCCCCAACCAGGGACTGAACCAGGGCTCTTACCAGTGAAAGCATGGAGTCTTAACCAGTGGACCACCAATGAATTCCCTGGATGGAATTTTAAACTGTGGTCTTAGATGAGATAACTAAACTATAGACATATATAGGGAAGACAAAATAAATGAATAATGAGTCCTGAGTCACTCTCTAGAAATTCATCTTGTTTGGGCCTCACCATGTGCAGAGGTAAATCAATTAGTCTAGTCAGGAGACAGAAACCACACCCAGTTATCTGATCATGGAAAAGGTACTATATTTTATATATATTATATATAATAATCATTATCAAGTAGAGGTGGTTGGGCTTCTCTAGCTGCTCAGAAGTAAAAGAATCCACTTGCAATGCAGGAGATGCAGGTCTGGGGTCGATCCCTGGGCCAGGAAGATTCCCTGGAGAGGGAAATGGAAACCCACTCCAGTATTCTTGCCTGGAAAATCCCATGGACAGAGGAGCCTGGCGGGCTACAGTCCATAGGATCTCAAAGAGCTGGACATGACTTAGCGACTAAAGTATAACACCACCACCCCATAGGTGGATAGCCACTTAAAGAGGGAGCTGGAACTGCTCAGAAGAGACCTTGGTGCAGAGTGTGTGATCTAGGGTTGGAGCTGGAGCTTGTCCACAAGGATCATCAAGTGGATGCCCACAGGGAATGTTAACAATGGAGGATCACAACCAGGG